TTGGCTCCTATTTAAATATTTTCTGGTACTGGGTGTAGCGGTGGCTCTGATGCAGATCCGATCACAGCAACCAGGAGGGACGGCTGAGCGAAAACTGCCCTCTCACGGTTGCTATGTTTGAAGCCACACAGTATGGTGCTTAAATTTATTGGCAACCGCACCATCCACACTTCCGCATTTCTCCAGCGCTTTGCCGGTTAAAAGTTTCTACATAATGAGTTGCAGAAAATGATAGCGAATCTACAGGCGGCATTCAAGGAGCTCGTTGACGAAAGTGACTGGATGGATGAACAGACCAAGAAAGTGGCTGTCCAAAAAGTATCCACCATTAATTTTTACACGTTGTTACATTTTCTGCTAATGCAAAAAAATCTGGGAGACTGAAATTTTAGGAGCATAACGCACCGCTTGCATTATCCTCTCTTTTTAAAACTCACTCATGGGGCTAGATCTTACGCATGGGCCCCTTAATAAAATTTTTTGGCGAAAAACGATTTCGGGAACTTGTTAACTTAGGAAGCTGGACCTCGCATAGGCATCTGTGTTTGACTTAAAGGCTTTGAATTTAGCTGTTACACTGTTACGTCATGCGGTCACGTCAAAGTTTCCAAATTGGCACCGCGCAAATATGAAAACAAGCAAGGGAAAAATAGCTGTAATTTTGCCAGATTATTTGTCGTCCATAGGGAGAATCGTATGCCTAAATAGAATTTCGAAGTGCAGCCTTGCCACGTCTTGGGACACGCAGATATATTTTTAGCGAACTAGGGATTTCAGGTACTGAAAGTGATATTTTATACTCACGTGTATTTTAACTCAGCTCACGGGCAAAACTCCTTGCACGCAAAAGCAAGTGCATTTGTGGATTTCGTTACCTTTCTCTTTCTCCTCTCTTTCAATATTCTGCTCATGGCCCAATTTAAATTTTTCAGCGTAAAGAATTACCCCAAATGTTCACTGACCGCAGAGAGAAGATTTAGGGTAATTCGTTATGCTGGATGTTAGGATTTCAGGCTGCCGCAATATGCGACAGTACCGTCCCAACCGAGTCCTGTTCCCCTTGCATGCACGAGTGGCCAAAATGCAATCGACATGAGTTCACGTATTATGTAACGCATCAACTATTCACACAGTTAACGATCTGACTGTTTCAAAACGCATGGTCGCACAGACACGCCTGGTGTCTCGCTAGCTGGATTTGCTGAAAGATAAGTATGAAACTTAGACCTGTGTTTTCACCCTTCACCCCTAAGAATCATGGTAATCTCATAAAATGAAAAAGAGGAGGTCGACGGAACACACCTCTTAGCATTCTCGCTACTTATTTCTCCGGTTCACTTTATGAATCAGGAAACAGACAGTTGATCAGATGATTTTTCCACTCATTTGGTCATAATTCAAGGTTTTGCAGGCGGTAGGTATGATACACAACATCGGATATCCTGACTTCATCAACAATGACACCGCACTGGACGAATACTACGAAAGAGTCTGGTTTTTCACGCGTTTATATTCGTTTTTGCTGTGCAGCGCTATAGAGCTGCTATTGTCGAGAGGTTGTTTGTGTGTGTGTAGTCCGAAGCGAGTGCGTTTTGTCACCGCTTTCGTCTCAGCAGCCAAGAAAGTTGGGAGGCTGAAATTACGGGTATATGTTCCTACCTCGTATGTCACCCTCCTGTTTTAAGATCTTCCCCACATGTGCCTAGACCGTGCGTACGACCCCCCGAAAAAAGATATGCAAATTTCTTTGACGGGAATCGATTTCACGGACTAGGCAAGATACAAAGTTGAAACTTTGCCAGGATATTCTATGTGCATATGCGAGCTAAAGGTTTCAGATTCGGTTGTTACGCACGATTGTGTAGCGCGTACGATCACTTCAAAGTTTGTAACTTGCTAACTTAAAAACTTGCCGGGAGAAAGTGGCTAAAATTTTGTCAGCATGTTTGTCGCCCGTATGGAAAATCGCATACCTAAAATGAGTACCGACTTGCATTTGCGTCACGACTTAGGGCACTTCAAAGATATAGGGGAGTGGATATTTCGCTTACTGGATAAGCTGCAAGGCTGAAAATTTGCTGGGATATTCAACTTTTAAGTGTGATCTTAATTCTGCTTGGAAGTGAAATCCCCTGCAGGTGGGCGTGATAAATACTCAACTTTACCGGAAAATCAGAAACGAGTGACTTTTGCAGCGAACGACCACCCTAATCCAAATATGTAAATGAGCATCCACTTCACTTGCACACTTGGATTTTTTGACAAACAACCGCTTGAGCAATACTTCATTTTTTAGTGAATTGGGAATTCGCATTTTTTCAAAAATCGAGCATTTACTGAAAAAGCGACCGAGCTTCATGTAAAAAACTGGTACCCATGTACCTTGGAGGCCCATGCGACTCTTCAATGCACCACTTTCACCCCAAGCGACGCCCTTCTTCCTGCATGCCGGGAAGGGCCAAAGCACGACCTATATGAGCCCAATTGTTAGGCTAAAGCGTAGGGATCATTCCTGCTATTAGCGACTCGCGAGTTTAGTGCAAAAATGCATGATTGCACCGACAAACTTGGTGTGTTACCAGTC